CCTGAGCAGTATAGTGAGATAGCTGAAGAAGCACTTAAGCCTGATGTGGCCTAAATATTTTAGTAATGTATGATGTCCATTTGAAAGCACTGTTCTCAACATTCTTTTTTGCATCCATTGGAGCCAGACATATGTAACTAGCATGATCAAGGGGAATATATATGAGATATTCCACCACAGTCAGACCAATAGTTTGCATTTCTCCACAGTATTTCTGTTTGCACAGGGCACATTTGTGCTTATTAACATTAAGGCACTGGTTGTGCTACTATCTGGCATTCACTCTATATCCTAAAGGCAGGGGCTACGCAGGCTCCAGCAATTTCAGTTTCTCTAACCTGCTCTGGAAGCACGAGCTATTCAGAGCCAGACTCCTTCACCGCGATGCTGCCAAACTCCATGCGGCGGAAGGCGTGGCACTCCCCGCAAACTCATTTTGTTTCAATGGGACTTAGAGTAAATTGGCAGTTTGGTTCCCAAGTGTCTAACATGATTAAAAGGCAAAGCAGTCAGGGGATGAGGACTACCAGGAGTTCAGAAATCATGCGAAGTTCCAGCACTACTTCACCTCAGCTCATACAATACAGGATCCATCTGCCTCTCAAATGTTATATAGTGGGCCTGATCCTGCATGGTGATGCGCTGCTATTATAATAGAAGTCTAGGGTCTTAGCACTACACAGGATGGAGCCTGTTACAAGCAAGACTCATTTTAGAACCAGCTATTTCTCCCACCTAAACAGTTCAGCTCTCCCATCATCACACCTTGAAGGAATGATTCAACATCATTGACAGCATACTCCTCTATTAGTGAGACAAGGTGGGTGAGGAATATCTTTAGCAGTGAGTAAGAGCTCTCCGGAGCTTGAAAGCTCATCTCTCTCACCGAGGTTGGTCCAATAAATGATATTACCTCACCCACTTTGTCTCTAATATCCTGGGACCAACACAACTACAACACCACTGCAAACTCCTCTGTTAGTCTCGTTCTTGGTCTTGGACACACTCTGGCCTTAGCAGGTCAAAAGACAGGAAACACTTTTGTTTGGAACATTTTCATGCCACATTATAGGAAGGAGGAATGAGAAGTTTTTCCACCATATTTCGCAGGTGCCCACTGGGGTACAATGTGCAATTTTCATGGTCCGATTGGTATTTGTGTAATTTCACCTGTGGAATCTGCCCTTTTCATATCCCGTTATTTGTACTCTCACTGTTGCTGTCCTGTGTCCCAGATTCCAGCATCTAGCTGTGTGAAAGACACTGGAGCATTTTACCGCTCTAGCATCTTGTCCTCCTGTTTTTCTTTCAAGTCACATACTGTATCTGTTTCAAAAATACGTTTGTCAACTTTTAGAATTCAATAACTGACTTTGATAGAGAAATGACTGTTCCGGTGTATGGTAAATGAGAGTGGTCTAGAACACTGTTAAATTTAAGTCTGGAAAATGAACTTTAATAAAATGTGCTCCAATAATGTGCTGTGACAGCTTTTAGTGAAATCAACTCCAGTACTTTGATTCTCCCAGGAGCGTAGTGAGACATACTCTAGCAGCCTTCAGCCATGGAATAAGAAAGCAGACGGCTTTATGATAAATGGCCCTAGAAGCCTAAATTACAACTGCAGCAAATGAACAATATGTGGAAATTATTTGGTGGCTTTTTGTTTGTACACAAGCCTGCAGTGACACCTAGTGGTCACACACCCTGGCAAGAAACCAACCCACCAGCACTGAAGCTGTCAGTCCATGAAACTTCTGCTTTTTTTAAAAGAACACCAGTTTGCAAAAGACTGCACCAAAATTAGCTGTCCCCCCAGCTCTGCCCACTGCTGTGGGTACTGCACACAGAGACTTTTGAATAAAGATGTGTCCCTTAAAGACTGAGAGTTAAAGCACTTTTCATTCTAACAAGTGACAGCTGGCAACAACATGACGCACCATAACTACACACAGCTGCTTTCAGGCTGACCATAGTCTTCCCTTTCCTGAGAGCAAATTGCTTGATATGTCTGGTTTCTACAGAGCACAGCATTGGCAGGCCAAGACCTAGATTGCCAAATGCCTTCACCTTCCTCCCATCCCTTCCTGCGCATATGCCTCGGTGGTGAAAATGAAAAGCTAGCTACATAGCATCACTTGGTCTGGAGGGAGCTTGCCCTCCAAAAGCTACATTGGTTCATGATCCAGCTAGGCTTAGCACTGCCCAGCAGCACTACTAACCATCAGTTGGGGCTGTGTTAATAAGAAAATGTGTATTTGTATGTGATTATGAATTGAAAATGTGTTTCCCACTTTTAAAAACATTAGATTTTAAAATAAACATGTGGCTCTGCTTACTTTCCCTTTGGCGTTGGAGTAGCTCACATTTTCCAAGCTTTTCTCTGCAACCACAAGGATTAGAAACTTACAGTTTGTTTTAAACCAAAGCTAAGAGTCTCATGAAGTCACATGGCTCTGGGAGCTAGGGCTGAAACAAAAACAAACAAGCAAAGCAGCATAGCAGCCTGTGCACAAGCTGGGGCTCCCACAAGAGGGTTCGCTAGGAAGAGGGGTAGCAGAGGGCCCCCAGAGAAAGGCCAGGGGGAAGGAGCAATTGACTGTTGAGGTGGAGGTGTCCCCACTGCAGTAGATTCTGGGAGGGTTGTAGTGCCTCAGTGAATGACTTTAATTGACATGGGGAGGCGTGAATTGGTTTTGCAGAGGGGCAGTTCAAGGGCAATAGAGGCCTAAGACAGATTTTGGGTGGAGGGTGTATTACTGAGAGGCATGGAATGAAGGATAGATATTTGAAGATGAAGAGTCTTCATGGGAACTGGAAAGGGAGGTGGGCTGAGTTCCTGGGAGCTGGCTGGAAGGAGGCAAGGCTGAAAGTACCTGGAGAAGGAAACACATTTCCCTCAGGGATTGGACCAAGGGGAGTGGTTTCATAGGGTGGGAAGAAGGCAGTGGTTTGAGCATTGGCCTGCTAAACCCAGGGTTGTGAGTTCAATCCTTGAGGGGGCCACTTGGGGATCTGGGGCAAAATCAGTACTTGGTCCTGCTAGTGAAGGCAGGGGGCTGGACTCGATGACCTTTCAAGGTCCCTTCCAGTTCTAGGAGATGGGATATCTCCATTAATTTCTAATTTCTATTTCAGAGACAGGTGTGTTTCTGAGGCACAGGGGCACTAAAACAAGGACTCAAAAAAGGAAGCTCACACATCCTGCCCCCTTCCCCCACAAGCCCAGCTGGTGCTCTGAAAAAACAGCTGAGCAGCTCTGAACCCAAAGTTTGGTGCCAGGACATATGTTGGGAGCTGCTGTTAGGCTCCCAATTGTTTCTCAAGAATTTAGGAGAGACGAGTGGGCAATGTAGTTAAGACAACTTACTTTTCTAGAGTTAACCAGGCCTTAGAGACAATAGGAATACAATTTACACAGAAGGCAAAAAGGGGAGGAGATTGCAGGAAACAGATCACTTTGCATTTTAGCAAACAGCATTGGGGAGAGAAACCAGCATGAAACTTTCTTCACCACAAGACTCCATGTCTCTTTCCTCACAGCTCAAATGAACTTTACTTTGAGAGGTAGTCTTCAGAAGAAGCCATTTCAAAGGCTCACTGGACTATAAAGAAAGGGGCAAAGAACCGCAAGTTATCTTTCACCTGAGACAACAAAGGAACCATTTGGACTTTATGGGAGATCCTGACCAAAGGGGCTGGTCAGCTATCTTTCTGGAGCATATGTTGGTAAGGAAACTCCCTTGAACAAAGGCTGTGGCTTGTTTTGTTTGGTCTTAGCCTTTAGAAAGCATTTTTCACTTTAATTTGCTTGTAACCATTTCTAACTCTACCCTTTATACTTGAACTCACTTAAAATCTTATCACCTCTTGTTAATAAACTTGTTTTAATTTTAATCTATACCTTCCCAGTGCTGTGCTTGATGTAAAATGAATGTTAACTCCAGCTAATGTGACAAGCTGCTGGGTAATATATCTTTAAAGGAACAAACAAACCTTAGCCTCTCTCTGAATTGTCCAGGAAAGGGCTGGACATTGCAGAGCATGTGGTTTGGGAAAATTCAAGACTGGAGGGCATTGCGTTCATCTTGCCAGGGATAAACAAGGCTGGTGAAGGCCAGAGTGGGGATGTGGTACAACAAGCAGGTTCCTAGAATCAGAAGACTGAACCAGGGCTGCTTAATACACAGTCACTCAGTGCATGCTTGTGTGATGGATGGAAGCCTCCAGGCAGAAGAGCTCCAGGGGGAGGTATTTTGAGGCACTCAGGGTTACAGGGCAAGCAGTGACACCACCGCTCACTGGTCTGGAAGGCACCCCCAAAAAGATATTTGCTCTTTTCATCAGCTTTGCAAACACATTTGATTCAGTTTGAAGAAGCATTATGGACAGCAGCAAAAGCATCGGGCATTTGAGATAAACCAACTGCAATACTAAAAGCTACGTCCAAAGACTCCTGCAGTGCCGTAAGAATTGGTGGGAAATTAAGCAACTGGTTCAACTCAAAATGGACAGGCCGGGGTTAAAACCCTTCCCCTCCTTCACAGCCCTGGAATGCGCCTCCTCCCGAGGACATGCCCCGGGGAGACGCGGGACAGTGACTGGTGCGCCAGGGAAGGCGGTGAGAAGAGCGTGGGGCGGGTTTGGTTGCGTGGCTGCACCCAGGCGCGAGGCCCGGCTCTGAGCCGGGCTGTAACGGGCCGCTAGGCCGGTGGCTGGGACACCTGCTTCCCCGCTAGGGGAAGCGAACGTGGCTAAATCCCTGGACTGGCCACAGCTCCAGGTGCTGCCTATGCCCCGGAAGGGGAAACCGCAGCCTCGTCCTGAGACACGATCCATTCCGGTGAGCGGCGACTAGGCCCGGTAGGTAGAGAAGCCGGAAGTGGAAGGTTCTTCTTGTGCGCAGGCGCAATAAGGCCTACCGCAAGGGGAGCCGATTAGTGGGACAGACGCGCGCGCAGGAGGGGCGTGGCTAGGCTACCCCCCCGCGAGGGGCGGTACCCGGAAGCGCCGGCGCGGCCGGGTTCCGCTGCCCCCTCCGATGCTCCGCTCCTGGTACCTGCTGTGCTGCCTCTGGGCCCTGCACCTGCCGGGCGCTGGGGAGGGGGCGGCGGCGGCGGACCGCGAGATAGACACCGCCCACTACCGGTGAGCACAGGGCAGCTCGGTCCCGTCCCCCCCCTCAGCCTGGCAGCGGCCGGCTCCGGTCCACGCCGGACCGGGTTCAGCCCGGCCCCGGCTGGGGGCAGGAGGCGAGTCCCGCCCAGGCTTGTGGAAGGGGCCGGGCCGGGCCGCGCAGCTGGGCGCTTAGCGGAGACCCGGCTCCGCCCGCGCGCCTCTCCCACCGCAGCCCCGACGTGGTGCTGCTGCCAAGGGGCGGGGGGTCCGGTTAGCAGTGGAACCCAAGGGCCAGTTCGGCCAAGCCAGGCACAAACTCCTCGCGTGCCGATAGATCGGTAGGAATGTCAGTGCTCCAATGTCCCCTCTGTCCCCAGGGAGCGAGTCAAGTCCATGTTTTACCACGCCTACAACAATTACTTGGAAAACGCTTTTCCCTATGATGAACTGCGGCCTCTGACGTGTGATGGACAGGACACCTGGGGAAGGTACCGGAGAGGGTTAATGTTCCCTATGAGCTTGTTCGTCTGTTGTGTCCGGGGTGTTGGTGTTTCCTAACCTCTCACTAGACTTAAGAATGTAAAAGACCTTCATCTTTAGGTCTGATGACTCTGTGGGGCACTGTCATGGTCTCCGCTGTATCTGTGCCAAGCCATTTGGTAACGGTGGAGTCTCAAACTGCATTAACTTGAATCATATAAGTTGGAGAAGGAGAAAATCAATTGGATCACACAAGCCAGGCACCTGCCAGTAATAGAGAACTGTATAAGAGAGATGGGGTGGGTAAGGTAATATATTTTATTGTCTCTCTAATATCCTGGGACCAACGCGGCTAAAACAACTCTGTAAATAAGAAAGAATAAGATGATTATGTCAAGAAATCTTATTGGGAGGTATTTTCCCGCTAGGGCTGCAGGTATTGCTGTTGGAATAAAGTATATTTTTGTTCTTAGCTCCACCTGTTGCCTGGCCTTGCAGTAGAGTCATAATTTTGTGTTGATGGTATTAATGGCAATGGTTGTGCTCTGACAGATTCAGCAGGATGATTTCATGCCTATCTCAAACAGATAGATGCCATGTGGGTAGAATTCCCAATCTTCTCTATACACAGCTTAGGGGTCTCAGGTTGGCTCACGCTGTTGCCTCTCAGTAGCTGGAGTTGTAGTTAGACTTTTTATTTGTTTTTGCTGTTCAATATCCAAGCGTTATATTTGTTCCTGTCTGTCACCCTGGCTGCTACTTATCTCATTGGCATTTCCTCACACTGCCTTCTGTTCTCTTTCAGTTTTTCTCTCACATTGATTGATGCTTTGGACACTCTACTAGTAAGTACCTCACTCAATTACAGCCTTTTCTTGTTAATTTCCCTCTGTTTTATTCAGGGCTTTGGAGCGGAGCCCGGAGCTGGAGCGCGAAGCAGCTCCAGAGCAGTGGCGCTGCAGGTTTTTGCCTGGAGCTGGAGCGGAGCCGGAGCACAGCTCCAAAGCTCTGGTTTTATTTCGTACAATGTTACTTTCTGCACTTCTTAAACATCCTGCATTAGAGGCCTAGATTTACCTCTGCTCCTCTCAGATGCTCTTCACCTACTTGTGAGAGTAACATATTAACTGAGCGAGGGAGAGCCTGCACTGACTTCACTCCACTGAGATGCAGGTGCCTGGAGTTCCCAGCCTCTGACACCTTCTAAATATGACATAAGGACCCAGAATGAGGGCGGAAAGTTTTGAAGTCAAGTAGGAATCATTCTTAGTGTCTTCCTTAACCGCCGTTTCATGAGTCAGCAGCTTGAGCTCCCAGCTAGTCACTGGCAGCGAGTTGTATGGGCCTGTGGTTCCTGGGCTCCAGCAAATTCAGGGCCCGGGGAGCCTGGCTCCACTAATGTTCGGGACCAGGTCTGTCCCCCGTCCCTGCCTGCCGCCCCCACACACCTCCCTTGAACGGCTCTGCCTGCCCTGGGCAGTGGGCGGCTGCCCCCTGCAGCTCCGCACTGTGCTCCCTCGGCCGCTGCCAGCTACAAGGGAGCGGCACTGAGGGCAAGCTGAAGCGGCTGCTATGCTGGAGGAGGGGAGGAGGCGCATGGCCGTCCCCCGCCCCCTGCAGGAAACTCCAAGTCATCTCCAAGGTGGGTGGGAAGGCTATTCTAGCTGGACCTCCTGAGCAGCAACCTGGGGGGGCTTGGGTGAATGTCGGGCCGGGGAAGCCCCCCTCCCTCCCCTGGAGCTCCCTGCTGCTGGCAGGGAGAGGGCTGGGTGGAGTCCTCTCTGGCCCCCAGCCCTGGAGAAGCCTGCCTGATGCACCCCAAACTCCTCATCCCCAGCCCAGCACCCAAACCCCCTCCTGCACCCCACCCCCCATCCCAGCCCAGAGACTGCACCCAGCACCCCAAACACCCTCCCACACCTCCTCCTGCACCCAAACTCACTGTCCTAGCTCAGAGCTCGCACCCCCTCCTGGACCCCAACTCTCTCTCAGAGCCTACACCCCAACCCCCTGCCCCAGCCCAGAGCCTGCACCCCTCCTGCACCCAAACTTCCTCCCAGAGCCTTAGGCGGGGGTGGGGTGGGGGTGGGACTTGAACCTGTTTGGCACCACCAAAAATTATACAAACCTGCGTCCCTGCAGCTAGGGTCAAGTGAAAAAGGTTTAAAACAGCATCTAACCCTACAGTGAAGCTGCTGAGAAATCTGTTATGTCATGTGTTCCTTGTCATTGATCCTTTGTTTTCCTGAGTGTAGTCATTTGCTGCCTCATGAGCCTCCCTCTCATTTATCCTGATTTCTTTTCCAGATTTTGGGAAATGTTTCAGAGTTCCAGAGGGTTGTCAATGTGCTGCAGGAGGGGGTGGATTTTGATATTGACGTAAATGCGTCTGTCTTTGAAACCAACATCCGAGGTGAGCTGGGTGCTGGAGTAGGGCTTAACTTGAAAGTCGTTTGTGTGTCACAATCAGTCTCTGAATTCATAATTTATATATAGTGCAGAGGGGTAATGCAGAACAACAGTGGGAATTGAATTCTGCTGCATACAAACTAAACAAGGAAAAATACACCTCCCTTCCTTCATTGTGCATTACCTCCCAGCCCCCTCTTGAGTGGTTCCAGATGTAAACTATACATACTACAGTTTAATTCTGAAACTCAAAACTAACCTTGAACAAGAACATAGAGGTTTCATGCTGAAGTCATAACGTTACACATCAAATCTGCTGTTGCTTCTAGAATAAGTTTCTTGTGTCCCTTGAGGCAGACAATGTTCTGGAATGGAGAGTAATTAGTCTATTTAAGAAACTACGATTAAAATCCTCTTTCTCTTGAAAAAATCATGAGGACCTCTGCCTTCAGTGCTACTTGCGTGTTTTACGCCTTCAATTCCCTCCACCTAAATAACACTTTCAGGGAAGAAAACTGTGTACTATGCTTATTCTCATTCTCCTGCCCAGCACTGTTCTGCTAGTTTCTGCACCCTGGGACAGTTTCTGCTAAAATATTTTACACATTAATAGTTTTTGACCTACGCTTGCTGTGTTACACAGTTCTAAACTCATTTAAAATACAAAACAACCTCACCTACTCTTTTCCCTTTCAATTGCTCAGACTTTGTTCTCCTGATGTCATAATCCCAGTAGTTCTTCAGTTCTCTATAGAGTAGTACAGATAAATGGGCATAGGTAAGATCTGCTGTTTCTAATGCAATGAAGTAGAAGTGCTTCCAGTTCTTTTTGACAGTTTACTAAGAAGCAAGACTACAACTTTTTTTTCTTTGCAAAGCATCTTTGATTAGCATCTTTTTAGATACTAGAGATGAGCCATCTGTCTTCCCCTGCCCACCCACAACTTCCTAGTTACGCAATCAAATGCTGCTGATTTGGGGGTTTTGTGGGCAAAACTATCAGTTCATTCCTCCCTGTACTTCCAAATGAGCCCCTCGCTTTGCACTGTTCCAGTGGTCGGTGGTCTCCTGTCTGCTCACTTGCTGTCTAAGAAGGCTGGTGTTGAAGTGGAAGCAGGATGGCCCTGCTCAGGGCCTCTTCTGAGGATGGCGAAAGAAGCTGCTCGTAAACTCCTACCAGGTGAGAACCTTTCCAGAGCTGCAGATCTAACTTCTCTCTGCACTCTTCTGCGTAGTACATGCTGAGTTAACTGGCCAGTAGTAATACAAGTGGGATCACTTCAGCATCTACAATAGTCCCCAGATCACTGGAATCCTAGGGGAAGCCTAACTAGCTGTATTAAACAGCCATATTTTTGTCAGTGTTGCACTGATGTACAGGTATTTTGGTGTTACTGAAGTCTGGGGAATGAGTCTAGGCTCAAATACATCCTTTACAATCCACATGGAAACCTCTGAAGCTTCCAAAGCAGCTGTGGGATGGTTGTTGGAAGCAGAATGCAGGACTCTGGGTCACTTGAGACAAAATATCGTAGGAGATGTGTGTTAGGTATATGCAATGCCTGCGGGAAACACCCAAAACGTGGCGTTATCAGTCACATGAGCGTACACCATCATGTATATTAGTTACTTCAAGCAAAAAAAATTAAAAGAACATTAAGGTGGTCAAGTGATGGTCTCTAGAGGCAGAAAATGTGCAAACTCAACTCTGCCCCATTTTGGGCTTCCATTAGGTTACACAGTCCGAGTATGTGAGTAGTTGTGTTGTTTTTATGTGCCTCATCCAGGGCACAGGTTGGACTGCGCTCAGTTAATGAGGCAGCTGTTCAGTGTTTGCATCCTCACAGAGATCCTCCTACTTGTGCAGTGAGGCAGGCGTGCCCTCAAACATTGAATGCTAAGTGCTAAGTCTCCACGATCGATGTCCAGCATTTCTTGTCTAGCCTTCTGGGTTCTCCCTCTCTCCCCCATACTGGGCTATGGTGCCACCTCCCATTTATTTCAGTGCACTTGGGACTATTCCAAACCCTGGTCTCTTGCTGGCATCCATGCTTGAATGAGAGGCACAGGCAGTAACAGTCAGCCTGTTAAATGTTGTCTGGTGATGGATGCCGAACATTCTCCTGTGAATCACGATTGTGATGTTTCAGCTTTTCAGACCCCAACTGGGATGCCATATGGGACAGTGAACTTGCTGCATGGAGTAAACCCTGGAGAGACCCCGGTTACCTGTACTGCTGGTATTGGTACATTCATAGTGGAATTTGCCACGTTAAGTCATCTTACAGGTGACGTAGTCTTTGAGGATGTGGCCAGAAAAGCCCTTAAGGCCCTGTGGAAAAATCGCTCAGATATTGGATTGGTGAGTGGCGGAAAATGCCCTTCATGTTATGCTTACATCCTTTTTGTAAACAGTGTATGGTACTAGGTAAGCCAGGGTAGATAGAGGACATGTGTTCGCCTTAAATTAGTGATTCCTTATAGTACTACATGAGTATAACTGCAATACCAGTAATCATGCAGTAGGTGGCACATAGCCTACTGTTCCGGAACACCGGTAACTTCAGTTAAAAGACCATATCCACCTCAGATACATTACACAGTTCTTGTATTCCACCCAGAAGAGGCTGGTGGGCAAATATGTTTTGGTTTTCACAGTTTTATATTTTTTATAACTCAGCTTTCTTTATGATCCCCTGTCATTATTGACTCACAGCCACCTTAAAATGCTGTTTAGTGCCGCAACTCCAAGTTTAGTCTCTGTCGAAGGGTGATAATTTTATTTTTTTTAAACGAGACCAGTCAATTCAGATGTTTATGGTTTAGGCTTTGGAGAGGAGGGTTGGAACACAATTTCCCCATACTTTATAAATATAAATATTTTCTCTTGACACTAACATTTTGTACACAAAACTTGGATGTTTCTGAAGTTTAAAAATGTCTGTCTCCACGTGTGGCTAGACCTCAATGAGGAACTTGGCAAATTTAATGAAAAAAATTATGAACAACTACAAATCTGGTTCTACACATGTACTGTAACAGAGAAAAATCTTTAAGCATATAGTTATGGTCTTGCCCAGCTCCACAATGCCACGCTATAGAACTCGAGTGCCATAAATAGGTTTTTTCCTTGTATCTAAAGAGTTTTCTAACTTAAAACCCTCTGGAATTTCAGAAAAATGCAGTTACTCTATTCTGTAGTCCTAGAGTTCCGGTCAGATAATACCTAACAAAGCTGCACTTTATCGCATTGTAATTAATAAAATCCTAGGTAAAAATTTATTCCAATAAGGCATTAATGTTGCAAATTAAAAATGCAAAGTAATGGTTCCCATAGCATTGTTCATGTCTGCCTATTGACAAACCAGGTGTAGATGTGAAGTGCAGAAAACAGTTAATTCAACTTGAAGGTTGCAAATTCATAATAAAATCAGGACAGCAATGCTAATGTTGTATTGCTGTATGTGTCTGTATTTTATAAAGTTTGCCAAGTGTTTTGGAATCCGTTTCTTTGAAAACCATTATAGAAAGAGAAGATAGTCCTCGGAATCTAGTATTAACAGGCAAGCTTTGGCTTGTCTTTAAAATCTTCCTTTTCCCACAGGTGGGTAACCACATTGATGTGGTAACTGCCAAATGGGTAGCCCAAGATGCTGGCATTGGGGCAGGGGTAGATTCCTACTTTGAATACCTTGTTAAAGGAGCCATTCTGCTGCATGATGAAGAGCTGATGTCCATGTTCCTAGGTGAGAGCTTTTTTTTCCCTGGATGACTGGGCCTTTTTTCACCAGATTGTCCCAAGAGTGTCTCTTTAAGTGCACCTGCTGATATCTGTATGTGCAGAGAGAGGCCCCTGGAAATGTGACCTTAAGCATCTCCATGGTGCAGACTCACTTCTGAGGCATCTTCAGCTCTGTGGGTGAAATTCTGGGCTCCCATTGATCTCAGTAGAGCGAGGCTTTACCTGTGTCTTTTTGGAGCTAAATTTCTTTTTCCAACATTTGGTGTGTTCGACTCCTTCTTTTAGCAAGAGGATGCTAAAAGTCTGACAAAACTCCTTTCTAGACTGTTTCTTGTTGTGATGGTTTTTGTTACCAATAAGACCTTGTCAGATTTGTGAGTGTCCTGTATGACAGTTAGTGGTCTGGGAGGAATGAATGTTCTTAGTGTTAATTTGACTAAACCACAGTGGAAAAGGGGCTTCTCTTCTATTTAAAAAATTCGGTTGTGTTAAATTAGTCTTCTCTGCTTCTTTTTAGAATATAACAAAGCCATTGGGAACTACACAAAATTTGATGACTGGTACCTGTGGGTTCAGATGTACAAAGGGACAGTGTCTATGCCTGTCTTTCAGTCCCTGGAGGCCTACTGGCCAGGCTTACAGGTAGGAAGAGAAATAACATACACTAATCTTCTTCCTCCCTGTCTTGAATCCATCTGCACCACAAATACTGTGCCAGGGCGTATGATGATAACTTTATCTTCTGTCCTGGTTAAAGCCTGGCTCTGCTCCGTAGTGTAGATGGACTTCATCTCCTGCAGCCTTTGGCAGAGCAGAATTAGACTCCAGTAGTGCTACATACAGAACCATATATTAAGTGTGAATGGGGACAGTCATATTGTAACCTGCTTTCCTAACATAGTTGTTCTTATGTAGGGTGGGGGTGGGGTAAGAAAAGAGACCAAATCCCTTCCCCATCTCATCCTAAACACTTTTCACGTTTGAGTTTATTTCTTGCAATGAGAATTGCTTATTGAGTAGTTCCCACTCCCTAGTGTCCTGTAGTTGACTACTCAGTAGCAGCCCCTCTGCTGCTGAAATGAAAGGAACAGTGTCTTGTAGATGAGTCAGGGAAGCTCTAGAATGAATACTCTGAGACCCACATCAGTCAGAAGGGATTAGAAAACTTTGTATGACTTCAGAGATCACGTGGAACAGGATCTAACAGAAAAGTGTCACCTGCTTCCTCTTTAGCTCCAGCTATTCTTAAGGTACCCTGTCTGAATATGACTAGTTATATTATTCAAACTCTGGGAGCAGTCCATTGGCTTCTCATTTAATGACTGTACGAGAAAGGGTTTTTTGTTTTTTGGGTTTTTTTGGTAGCTAAGTCCTGTGTAGTTTGTTCTTTTCCAACTGAATGTTGCTTCACTAGGTGTGTTTTCTTTCCCCAGAGTCTGATAGGGGACATCAGTAATGCCATGCGAACATTCCTCAATTATTACACTGTTTGGAAACAGTTTGGTGGGCTGCCCGAGTTTTACAACATTCCCCAGGGCTATACTGTGGAGAAGCGAGAAGGATACCCACTTAGACCTGGTAAACAGAAGCAACAAATAACAAACATGTTGATACTGAATCCTGCTTTTATTCTGGTGTAGTAATTAATGTTACCTAACCTCTAACCTGCAAGGTCTACGCTAGTGCAATAGTAACTTCATTGCCAGTGCACTCCCATTTTCCATTTCCGGCAAGACACACATTGTAGAGTCTGACTTTCACTCTAGGTAGAATTAAATTTTAAAGGAGCCTAACCATTGTGCCACTTCTTAAAGGGGCCCTGTCAAGTGGATTAGGTCCAAAATGTAGGATTTGTGCTGTTGAAAAAGATGCATCAGGTGTAGTATTAAGTGTTCTCAAAGTCTGTCAGTAAAAGGCTTTTTAATGTGAATGTTCACTTGCACACATGAATTCTGTACTAGTGTAACTAGAAAGTGAAATTGACTATAAACAGACCAGTCTCCTTTTGCTGAATGAAGTGCATAGAGTAAAGCAGACTTTTGCTATTCCTCCAGTTTTATTAACCTTATTGCAGTTGAGTAACACAAATAAATAATCCCGTGATGTAAGATCCTCTCTGAAACTGGAAAATAACATTTCTCCCTCGTTCCTTTGTCCTTTTCTGTTCCACAACCATTGACTTCCCTTTTCCCTGTTTCTTACAACACACATGGTTCTACTTGGTTTACTTGTGCACCTGCATCATATAGATCTGCGAATGGGTTTGTTAATTTGAGTTCCCTGAACAGCTGTTACAGCAGCATAACAACATTCTCCATGTGGCATGTAAACTGGACTCTTTTACCAAAAATTCTAAGCAATGCTCATTTTCTTAGCATGTATTACAGCATCACAGTAGCAATGTTTCCAGAGTAAGGAAGAGAGAAGGTGCGCCTGATATCTGCTGTGGGTGTTTCCATATTGCCCATCACTGTATCTAAACATCAGGAAACCCTATCTTTCAGTAGCTTATAAAATAATATACAACTTTTTTTTATGGGGCTGAAATTTCTGAGGCAGAATTGCAGTCTAAAAGCAATTTTCTAAATTTAGGTTTTTTTAGGGAAGGTTTAATTTTAAAATATTTTTTAACTTCACTTCATTCCCATCCCCCAAATGTGAAGCAGGGAATGCATAGTTAACATGTCATCTCAGTTTAAACTATTTAATTTCAGATTTGGCTTGTCCTCTGGGAAGATGGGTGCCTATGGTGTGAACCAGAAGCAATATATAGGGCTAACTGATCTGATCCTCTTGAATTGTATTGGTGAATCTATGCAAATTGCAGTGGTGTCTTCTGTGCACTGTAACAAGGTCTTTGCTGCTGGATTTTGCAGAGCTGCTCGAGAGTGCCATGTATCTGTACCGTGCCACACGAGATCCCACCCTCTTAGAACTGGGGAGAGATGCTGTGGAGTCCATAGAGAAAATCAGTAAGGTGGAGTGTGGATTTGCAACAGTAAGTGTCTGCTGAAAACCAGCTTTCAACCAGCAAGTGTTGGTCTCTTGATCGTTTGCCAAAGAGGGTGATGTTTGTAGGCTGTCTGATCACTTGAGGGGAGGGGAGGTTTTCTTGTTTTTTAAAGACAAATCAAACAGTTCCTTGTAAAACTCAATTTTGTAACCCTGGTTATGCTTCAGGGAGTAACTCCACTGCCAGAGCAGTAAGGGAGTTAGGGCCATGTTGTGCCCTGCTACTGTGTGGGTACCCAGAGCTGGGGATCGCACAAAAAGCCTCAGCACAGGGACTGCTTCCTCCTAGTGCCTCTGTGGGTGCAAGGGGTTAGGGAGAAGGCAGGGCCAGGGCATGTTCCCGCTGCATGCTATGGACCTGTAGGGCACTGCACGTCTCCACAATCTGCTGGAATGGTGCAGGTCTGCATTGCCCCGACACGGGCCTGTGCTGATCAGATACAACTGAGCCTGTACGAGTGATTTCTTTACACTTCTCTAACACCTGCCATTCAAGGATCTCGCACTGTCGCAATGAATCGTTAATGCACAAAAACTGAGAATTCAACCTCACAACTCTGACATAGATAAGTCCTCATTTTATAGTTTGGGAAATGGTGGGTAAGTCGCTTCATGTCACTAAGTGACATAGTAACAGAGGGTCCTGTGGCACCTTTAAGACTAAGAGAAGTATTGGGAGCATAAGCTTTCGTGGGTAAGAACCTCACTTCTTCAGATGCAAGTGAGGTTCTTACCCACGAAAGCTTATGCTCCCAATACTTCTGTTAGTCTTAAAGGTGCCACAGGACCCTCTGTTACTTTTTACAGATTCAGACTAACACGGCTACCCCTCTGATAAGTGACATAGGAAATCCTTAGCATAGAACTCCTCTCTCCTGATTCCCAGTCACTTGCTCTGCTAGACAGTTCAGCTGGATAAAACAGCCAAAAAGAAACTGTTAGAAGTAATTAATCTTACATGTCGTGCACCATCAAGCCAAGTGGCAACTCCTCTGGGTAAGGATCAGCAGTGGACTGGTGAGTCCATGTATTGCTTAGCTGTAAGGAGGAATTCCAAACTTACTGTTTTCCCAAGTTCATGACATCTAGGAGCACTCCGTGAGGTTCTGGGTTCAGGATCGATGTAATCCACTTGATCTGCTCTCTTACAGATCAAAGACCTGAGGGATCACCGACTGGATAATCGCATGGAATCCTTCTTCTTGGCTGAAACAGTGAAATACTTGTATCTGCTGTTTGACCCAGATAACTTCATTCACAACGATGGGTCAGCCTTTGATGTGGTGCCCATGCCTTATGGGGAATGCATCCTTGGTGCTGGTGGATACGTCTTCAATACCGAAGCTCACCCCATAGACCCTGCTGCCCTGCACTGTTGTAGGAAACAGAAGGAAGAGCAGTGGGAAGTGGAAGACTTAATGAGAGAGTTTTACTTTCTGAAGAGAAGCAAAAAGTCCACGTTCAAGAGAACTGCAGACCATAGTGGGAGGGAAAGCCAGACAGCCTCTGCAGATGCTTCCTCAGAGAGCAGCAGGGGGGGAACGAATCCGGAGAAGAACACCAAAAGGAGACTCCCTCTCCTGAGCTGCCCTAATCAGCCCTTTACCTCCAAACTTTCAGTTCTGGGACAGGTCTTTCTAGATGACACGTGACTCCACTTCACTACGAGTCCAAGTTGTTGAAGTTAATAAATCCGCTTGGAGTTGTACTCTGTGGACCTTTTTATTCTGTGGGAAATATTTTTCAGTGGTGGAAAAAAGTGCACAACAGAATTTCCACTGTTATGTAAAATATCCTTCTATTAGATCCCCTTGCACTCTCGCCTTCTGTATTGTGTGAATCAGGGCTACTGTTACATTTGTTAACACAGCTCAAAGGTTATACCAGAATAAGTCGCCAGTTTGGAAAGCAGAAATCTCTGAGAAGGAAGAACCTGCAGCCTGTGACTTTTGCTGTTTCATTTGCGGCTGTGTTAAATGTTCTGAGGCCATTTAAAGTCTTGACCATATGCAGAGTTTATAGTGCCTCCTGCTTAAGAAAAGAAGGAAATTGAGTTACCTGGCTGTAGCAACATGAGAACAGAAGCTAACTACTAGCAGTGACTTCTCTTACTCCATAAATTTCAGATTTGCTCTTTGATTAGCCTTAAATTTTACTGCTGGTCCCAGGGGATCATGTGGGCACAGGCTTGAACACCCAGAGCTCCCAGAGGGGGAATAGTTCATGGGCAACCTCTGTTCCAAGTAACAGGTTTTCAGTTCCATGCTTGGCTGTTGGACAAATGAACTGTACATCTGGCAGTGGGGAGGAAACCAACATGGAAGGGTCTGTCAAGTGTCAGGAAATGAATTCATTTGTGTCATGGAATGTGTGATGAGAAATTTTCTCTTACATCTAGCACTAGTGCTGGTTGGTACCCTATGAGTGACACTGTCCCTTAGGAGGCTGGCTGACTGATTGCTGGGTGGATATCGCCTGGAAGCTGATTAAATTTCTGTAGTGTTCTGGGGCCTGTGATGTGGGGAAGGAGGGACTTTGTGCTGGGGATTAGAAACCCTTCTAACCCCAAGGGGTGAGGCTTGACTGACTCCCCATGCGTTCTGCCTGCCTCTGCTCTGAAAAATCCTTCCTCCTTCCCTGCCTTCAATGCCTAAGGTTACCCATCTCCCTCTAACTGCTGCATGGACCTTCTTGTTGGGAGCTAATGGGGCAGTCAGCAGGAATCCACGCAGCATGAGGTAGCCAGCTCAGTGGTAGGGCAGGGGTAGTGTGGGGTGGGGAGATAGGACCAAAGCCAGGGAAAGACACCGATTTTGTTCAGAGTGAGGTATAGAATACTCCAGCCCCTCAATACAGAGGAGAGGCTGAATGGACATGTAACTCCTCTAAAAGTGGGGGAGGATGGGTTCCTAATGGTCCCATTCTTTTAAAGTGAAGTCGAACCATGATGGTTCCTTTTTTAATAGTGAAAAGCCTTGCTCCTGAATGAACAGGCCGTTGGCGGGATCTGACAACACCCGCCACTCTGTGAGAGTTACAGGAGTTATAAAGAACCCTGACCCTTCTGCTTCAGCAGGGGAGATGATCTTCGAGGGCCCCCTGGGGAGTCTGTCCCCACTTCTATCAGGGCATCCAGGAGCATTGCAAGAGTTTCATTTTGTAGCAGGAACCAAACTGCCCAAGGCTGGAGATGGCATAGCCTGATGGTTTGATTCCATATAGCCATTCCTAGCTTCCCTTCTCCCTCTCTTTGCATGTGCAATACATCTGTTCTTGCTTAGGGTAGCAGAAGCTGACCAAGCAGGGGCTTTCTACGCTCATTTTTATGCCAATAGTGCCCCAAGGTGTTAAGTAGAATGGGGGCCTCAGTGTGGCAATTGGTCTATAACTTTTGCCTGTTTTAGAAATTGACCATGGAAAGTAGGCCAAGTTATTTTCAATAAAGAACATTGTACAGCTGCAAGAGAACCAGACAACCTAGATTAGTTTAAACCAAAAAGGCCACAATTGATATAATCCAAAATGATGTGGAGCCAGAAGTTAATTAACTGAAATTGGCATGTTGCATATTAGGCCAAATTGGTGGATTAAACCATGAGAAGAGGATGGGCTATTCCACCCACCAGTCCCTTTTTTTGGTCCTTGAAGAAAGACATGTTGGCGGAGGGGAGATACAGGAAGAACTCTCAAAAGCTACTGGAGGAGCTTCACCATCATGGCTGCCATCCCTACCATCTCCTGGGAGCCTGGGCCTTCAGCATCCTGATTCTGAGGGATGTTCTGACCAGACTGGACCAGAGAGAGGGCCCCCAATGACATTGCCACCTGTACTGGCTCCAGCTGAATCTCAGACACCAGCTGGGATGAAATGGGATCGGACTTTAACCGCATCAACTGCTCCAGCTCATCTCAACTAACTTCTCTTTCTCCAAAAGGACAGTTATTACCATCTGATACCATTTAAGAGACTGTCAGACAAGTGTGTTTTCCTTCTAAAAACTCTCCAGCTTAAGGGAAAGGATGTTGTTAAAATGAAAGGCTTACTTAATGCTTTAGATTCCAAATACTGTAACTGTTTGTCCTCCTTTATCTTTAAGATTCAAATGATTTTTACTGACATGTTTACCATGATACTAGGTAGGCTAAGGTCTCTGTACACCAAGCCCCAAACCTTGTTTAATGTTGGACAGTAACTAGATTATGTTAACAGAGGGGTTTCTAAACTTTTTGCCAGCATAACCCCATTTTGAGACTTACTGTCTCCTGTGCCCCCAGATGACATCATAGCAACCAAGGAATTTACACAAGTACATTATTTAATGCTCTCTAATGTGACAGATGGGTGTGTGTGTTACAACACAGCTTCCCGAAGTCTGGCAGCATGGTAGAAATTGCACATCTAATCTCCAGTTGTGACATCCACAGTAGATCAACCCTGAGACTTGATGGACACAAGCACTGAACCCAGCTTCACACAAATACAGGCTTGCGAATGGCACCATCAGTTTGAAAGTGCAGGATATTCATTCTTGTGACAGTGAGCCAAACTCCCGGAGAGAAAGTTGAGCATATGTTCCTTGCAAGAATCTATCATGGGAAATTTCAGTGAGCTGTTCAATTTCAGCTGCTGGCAACTCCCTGGCATCAGACTTGCATTGAAAAGGGTTTGTCACGTCCAGGTCGGCAGGGAAAGGATGTAAACTGTTCCTCTGGCAGGCTGAGATGCTCAGCCATCACCTGAATAATTTCATTGTCAGCCAGGAACTTGCAAAGCTGAAGGAAGGATTCATAGTTCATCTTCAATAGATTATACTTCCAGAAAACAATTCATGAATCCTGTGATTTTGATTGACTCAGCTGAAGGATGGGGGGAAGGAGTTCTTTCCTTGCAGACCTGTATTCAGTTCATTCAGATTCCCAAATACATCTGTGACATAGGCAAGAAGGCACCTCTTCCTCTGGGCACACAGAAAATCAACATTTTCACTCTGTTAGCAGTCCATTGCACAGGCATGCAGCTCATCTCTCTGTTCAGAAAATCGGCCCAGCACTTTTCATGTTGAGAGTTAACAAGCTTCAGTGTGGAACAGCAACACAGCATGATTGGACCCCAGGTCTTCACAGAGTTTTGCAAAGAGACCATGCAGGGAGACAGAACAGAATATCTTCGAGAACTGCACCGTACGTGTGAGGTCGCACTGCATGTGCAAGGTCACACTGCGAGAAGGCTATTTTGGTCTACAGGCTGGTGGCCAGATTACACTGGGTGGGGGCTACCATTTTGTAGGTCATACTGGCAGCCTCCTGGTGTGGCATTTGTGGAGCAGATCTGGACACGGGGGGGACGGGGGACAGGTGCCATCGTCTTGCAGGCCAAATCTGGCCCATTGGACCCATGACCCCATCTGCTGGTGACACAACCCCATTTGGGGTCACACCCCACAGTTTGGGAACTGCTTGTTAACACCTTTGTCCCATATATTCCATCAAACTCCATGTCGCAGCCCCCAGGGTGTGGTACAAATGCATATGAAGATATATTCTCTGTCCTGAGGAGCTTGCTTTGATGCCTTGAGTGTGAGGTTGTACCTGCTGACTCACTCTGCAAACACAAAGGCATGCTTTTCTCTGCTATAAAGTTTCTCCACTCATGGGTGTGTTGTAGCTTAGTCAATTCTCTGCCCTCTTTGGTGACTGTACAAAATGCTCTTACCAGAACCACTGATAAAGAGTAAAAAAGGAGACTTATGAATAGAGAGCAAAGGAATTGCATGTGATCTGCCTTCACACCAAGCCCGATGGAACAGGTATAAACAAGACTGTAATCAATGGGGGAGGCTCCAAATTGGTTTTTGTCGTGCTAATTTTCATCCCAGCAAGCCTGCCTGGCTGCAGCCCAGGAGGAGTGGGGCTTGTATGGGAACATCTCTGAGCTATATACTGGATTACACAAATTAGACATCGTATGGAGGAAACTCAGATCTTCCCATGCATATCTAGCCACTGATTGCACCATGGCTACTTCCTGTGCCTCCCATAATGCTCCTTTTCCTGGAGTCATTCCAGAATGCAGCGTGTGCAGCCCAGGTGTGGGAGAAGGGCATGTGGGCTTTGGTTTTTCAGTCTTTGCTTCCACTAACATCCTCTTTTCCAGCTGCTAAAGCACCAGCCATGGCTCTAGCGCATGGGGCAGTGAATGCTGTTACCACCTTGGCGGCCTCTGTGGGTAGGCCTTATGATACAGTCTGTGACTGCATGATTATGTACAGTTTTTTCCACGGGACCCCTGTCTCATGTAGTGGGCTGTTCTCAGGCAATGAGGCTATTGTTCAATATGTCTGCGTGTTCTTGACATTCAAGCTGTGGCCCCAGGTCTTATTTACTGCACACTGTTCAAACCCTGCACTGACTAGGGAATATTAATTGCCTCATGATCTTTTCCGTCCCACTCATCACCATGTCTCATCTTCACAAGTATTAATACCTGGCTCTTATGTAGTGTTTTTTGTCAGTAGATTTCAAAGCACGTCACACACTTCAGTTTATTTCTCCTCACAGCCCCACTGTGCTATTATCCCCATTGAACAGATGGGGAACTGAGGCACAGCAAGGCCAAGTAACGTGCCCAAGGTCACAAGGGAAGTCTGTGGCAGAGCAGGGAATAAACGTGGGTCTCCCAAGACCTAATGCTCTAACCACTAGGCCA